ATATATTATATATATATATATACATATATATATATATATATATATATATATATATATATATATATATATATATATATATATATATATATATATATATATAATAGATAAATATATACATATATATATATATATATATATATATATATATCATACATATATATATATATATATATATATATATATATATATATATATATATATATATATATATATATATATATATATATATATATATATATATATACATACATATATATACACTTACTAAAGCGTGTTTTGATAAGCATTTGCTCACTTTTTCTGCTTAACTTAAGCTATAATACTTATTCGATCTTTTTCTAAATTATGGATCGGTTGTACCAGTAAATCTGTATTACTTTTCCAACCACTGCATAAGCTTTGAAGAATAATTTTAGGCAAACAAGGGGATGATATATATATATATATATATATATATATATATATATATATATATATATATATATATATACATACATATATATACACTTACTAAAGCGTGTATATACCTGACATTTTATTTGCATATATACCTGACATTTTATTTGCATGCAGAATACTTATTCGATCTTTTTCTAAATTATGGATTGGTTGTACCAGTAAATCTGTATTACTTTTCCAACCACTGCATAAGCTTTGAAGAATAATTTTAGGCAAACAAGGGGATGATATATATATATATATATATATATATATATATATATATATATATATATATATATATATATATATATATATATATATACATACATATATATACACTTACTAAAGCGTGTTTTGATAAGCATTTGCTCACTTTTTCTGCTTAACTTAAGCTATACAGTTTTTTTCAAAAAAGAAGAAAAAACAAAGAATGATGAATAAAATGATTGCTTCTCCCATCCCAAACCCTCAGTTGATGTAGCAGCACTCCACTGCGAGTCAGACTATTTGTCAGTCAGTGTATGTACTGAAGCCCCCAGCAGCAGGCTATTTTAGTATGACGTCAGATTGCTTACCTTAGTACGCAATACTATTTGTATATTTATATATATGTATACATACATATATATATATATATATATATATATATATATATATATATATATATATATATATATATATTAGAGTGCCACTAAAAACAACTTATATACTAAATATATATATATATATATATATATATATATATATATATATATATATATATATATATATATATATATATATATATATATATTGAACATCAACACAAAAGAATAAAGAAATCAGTGTGAAACATGTTAAAGTACTTTGTATGGGCTAATCAAACTTTTAGCCTCTATTCTTCATGGTATTGAGGCAACAATATTGACAATAAGAGACTCACAATATTTGGGTGCTAATTCATGACACTACCCTGTTATTATGATTTTTGTCAAATATGCTAGTGAGTTTGGGTTTCGTTTAGAAACTATTGCTTTCAAAAGTTTTGTAAAGGGGTTTAAACTGGGTGAATTGCCAAACCATAGGCAAAAACATTTGCATTTCTTGAAGCCCTGTCTTGACGATTTTTGCAAGATAACAAAATCCTCTGTTGTGCATGAAAATAATAAACTTTTTAATTCAAGATTAATAACATTATTCTTCAAAACTTCCAATTAATTTGCGGGATTGAAAATTTCACCTTGCTGTAAAAGGTATAAATTACCACAACTGTTGCTAGAGGTTGCAATGAGAACCAAAATTGATAGATATTTTTTAGATACCATGTATCAGGGATTGATGGGTGAGTATGATGGCTAACTAACATTGGCTTTGTGTGCTAAAAACTGCTTAATTTGTGCTTTGTCTATAAAATGATACATTGTCACTTTTTAAAAGTATAATCATTGTGTGTTTTTCAAAATTTAAGGACATTACAAATCTAAACTTCTAACCAGGCTGCAAGCAATCACATTTTAGAGTTAAAAGTTACTGGGAGAGAAAATATAATGTCTATAAAGCAAGATAACAGACAATTAAAAAAATTGCAAGTTATAAGACTCAGGAAAACAAGATAAAGGGAGCAAATTCCAAAGAACTGATGTTTGAGGAAAAAAACTAGACAAATAGGAATTTTTGGAGCAATTAGGACCAGTAAAAATTTTTTGAGAAAGGTTTGCTTTAATACAGCTAATCACATTAAAAGAATAATGTTCATGGCAAGTATTTTCAAAATGTGCAGGCACTAACTTTCACACTAGAAAAAAGTTGAGTAAGATTTTGTATTAAATCTGTATGTCCTACTTAGACAAACAATGTATTACGCTATTAGTTTTTGAAGTGATACTTTGTATTCCACACGGTAATCCTCAATTAATGCTATCTCTTGACTTGATGCGCTGCATTATATCATGCTGAGATTATTTGTTCAAAATTGCTGTCTTCCACTAAAAGTTGTGCACGTTTAGCAAGTGATGTTGTAGTCATACTCTAAGATAATAGTGATCGAACTACACACAATCTTAATATATGTAGAGTGTATAAGATGTATGTAGATCATATAAGATATTTTTCTATTGGTTGATAACTACTCATCACCAACGCAATAAATGATTGGTTTGTGTGTTATGTGCATACTTTGCATTTATAAGTTTTTATTTACAATAATTATAAGAGGTCATATTTTTTAGGTCATAACTGTATACATATTATTAAATTAAAAAAAAAGACTATACCTGACATTTTATTTGCATGCAGAATACTTATTCGATCTTTTTCTAAATTATGGATCGGTTGTACCAGTAAATCTGTATTACTTTTCCAACCACTGCATAAGCTTTGAAGAATAATTTTAGGCAAACAAGGGGATGATTGCTCTTTGCTCACTATATTTTAAATTAAAAAAAATATAACATGACTATACAAAAAAGTTATAACCAACTTACTATTATCAAAATATGATAATTATCAAAATAAATTTAAATACACAAATTTAAAATTAAATTAATAGCAAAAGATCTTCTGTGTAATAAACTTAATTAAATAACAACAACTCAGTAAATATAATACCTTGGTCTTATATAAAATATAAAACCTTGGTTTTAAAAACTGAAAAAAAAAAGTAGTTAAAAGTATGAATAATTAGAATGTTATCAACCCTCAGTAGAATGGTTTCGCAAACATGAGACAGTGCATTGTAACAAAATAATATTTTTTATTATTGGGTTTAACAATCATTAGATTTTTTTAATTGCTAATTAATAATAATTAAAAACTATTTAACTCATCGACTTTAGTGGCCCTTACGTCAAATCAGTAATAAAAAAAAGGCTAAAGATGGTGTCTTGATAACAATACTCATCCTGGGCAAATGCTAATTGCATCTAACTAATGTCTTATAGAATTCATCATAGGCAAAGAGTTTAAGATATAAGAGGTAAATTTCTGTTGACCAACCTCCCCTTCTTTATCTAATAGGCTGGCGTAGATTTATACCAGTCTTACATTGTTTCCTGCTTAGGATAATGAACACTGCATTTTCAAGATTCTACTCATGGATTTTTGCTTGCGCCTTTATGGTGGTGCCAATTTAATACTCTACGTTACAGCTTGAGGCTCACTTGTATTACAGTATTGTTGATATTGATGATATTGCTTTTTAGGTTATCCTTCACTGATCATTCATGGAAACCATAAATACAATCCATTACAAAGTTAGCACTGCTAAAGTTGCTTCTTGCAGGCTTGGTCGGGAAGCGGGAGCGATCGCTCTCGATTGCTGACCACGTAAATAATATTTAGTTGCGAAAAGCTGGCCAGATTTTTTAGTCGTTTTGAGAACATTTTAACAACCAAAAAAAAAAAAAGCGCATAAGATTAATTGGACTGATGAGAGACAATTACAAAAACTTTTTTATAAAATTAAGCGATGTTTTTTATCTAAAGTAACATCTTACGATTGTTTAAAAAGGAAACAAATATTTTTTATTAAACAAAGTTTGCAAGTTTTAGTTTTATTTAAGCTAAATTATTTTATAAATAAAAAAGCTAATTTTTATTAATACCTATTTTATGTTTCGCGTAGTTTAAAAAGTTTAACATATTTGAAGCAATTCTTATTAGTAAGATAACAAATGAAATAATTAAATCATTGAATTACTATAGACATTAAATTAACAAGATAGAAATCAACTAAAAAGGTTAAAAATATGATGAGGAAGCGAAACTGCTTCACAATATCGCTGATGATGTTTAGTGAGTGGGCTTTTTAATTAGTTAGTAATTTAATTAGTAATTAAAGCAGAAAAAAGTGTAACGAGTTTTTAAGAATGGCAAAGGAAGCGAATATAATTAGAGTTAGTAAACCAATATCTAGAAACTTTTTTTTATATCTAATTATTTGCTATATATATTTGTGTTCTGTCGTGACCTCAGGCGCGGTGCTTGTTCATCCGCGAGTTACTTTGTATGCGTTGTTTGTGTTTAGTAACCAGAAACTTCTTATGTGTGTTACATGATTAGTTTTATTAACTTTAACGATTATAACTTTATTGAAAACGCAATTATTTTTGTAAGTCTTTGTTTAAATCATAAAAATTGCTTTAAATGATACATTACGATAAAAAACAGATCAACCAAATTACATTCACATAAAGAATACATACTTTTTAAATAAAAAATAAGAATGTACAAATAAAATCTATAATTTATAATAAACTTTTAAAATTTTGACAATTTAATTAATATATATTTAAAACATTTATTTTTGTAAACAATTTAAATATATTCTTAAAACGATTTATGCTAGAAATCTGAAGACGTAACAAATCGTGAATAATATAGTTTTTAAAACATTTCAACAAAATGCTCAAAAATTTTATTTCGCTTAGTCAGCGTATTTTTTGAACAAATAGAATTAGTTTGTTCGTTAATTTGGTGGGTTTTTAGTGTTCGCAAATATTCTTTTTATTCTTTCGCACCAAGATGTTTTGAGAACATTCAAGTTTTTTATGTTTCCATGTATGTCTGTAAAATAAAAATTTTTTGTTTTGTAAATAAACTTAAATGTTCTTAAGACGACTAAAAAACCTGGCCAGTTTTTCGCAACTAAATATAATTTCCGTGGTCAGTATTCGAGAGCGATCGCTACCGCTTCCCGACCATGCCTGTTCTTGGTATTTTGCTTATTATTTTCTTATCTTGATTTTATCCTCTATCTCAATAAATCTCTTATTTTTCCTTGTATGAAATACTATTATATTTAGACTGGTACTCCTAATGAATCCAAATAGCTGTTAAGCATAAACATCTGTCCGATTATGGTAAAGGTTGCATCTCTCCTTTTTACAAACACTACCATGGTTGCTGGTCTAGCAAACTGTTTCAATTTCACTTTAAAGTGAAATTTTTAAACTTCACTTTAGCTTACCCCATAAATATTAAATTAAATAAATCATGCTTTTTTCCATTTCACTAAATTTTTGAAACAACGGTTTCAATATATACAGTTTTCTATTTTTTAAAAACATCTTCACATCTAACCAGGCTGCAAGCAATCACCTTTTAGAGTTAAAAGTCACTGGGAGAGAAAATATAAAGTCTATAAAGCAAGATAACAGACAATTAAAAAAATTGCAAGTTATATGACTCAGGAAAACAAGATAAAGGGAGCAAATTCCAAAGAACTGATGTTTGAGGAAAAAAACTAGACAAATAGGAATTTTTGGAGCAATTAGGACCAGTAAAAAGATGTGATTTAATTGAATGACGAGTAACACAAGAATGAATTTTAGTAGATGGCACAAGAGATGCTAGCTCTTTAAAGCAATGCCCATTATAGTATTTTATAGAAAAAGAAAAAGAAGCAACTTTACAATGATATTACAATGGTTGGAGGTTACATTATCATTTATAAATAAAGGAAGACCTAGATTATTGCAATAACAATTAACTGAAAAAAATTTCATGAATCAAAGTTCACCGGCCACTGAGAGCTCCATGCTGTAACAGAAGTGAGATCTTTTTCAAGCTCAAGTGCCCCCTCTAAGCAATCAGAAAGTGTTTTTATTAGAGAGCTTTTTATTAAGACAAGAATAAATGGCAGTTTCAGCAAACTTTGCCACCTTAGATGTGAGAATTTCTGGGAGATTGTTAAGATAATGTAAAAATTATAAACCCAAGAATAAAATCTTGAAGACCCCTCTAAAATTACAGGAAATGCAAAACTTACTGCCTCTTTACCATACCATAAAAAGTGAATTAAATGCTTTACTAATCATAGTATAAAATGTCTACTAAGGACAAATTTTATACTACAATTGGTACAGAAGCATTCAAATCCTTAAAGATGTTATCTGATACACCATAAGAAGAGAGCTTATGGAGAAGACCAGCATGCTAAACTTTATCAAAAGCTTTAGAAAGGTCTAGAAGGATATTCCTACCAATCCAAATCTATATAATGCATAATAAAATCTATCAGCTATTACTGTTAACAAATCATCAATAAAACAAGAAGATTGAAAACCATATTAAAAATCAAAAAGTTATTAAATTTAAGATGAGAGATAATGCACCTCTTAACTAAAGACTAAAAAACTTTATGATAGGAAAAAGACTAATAGAACTGTATTTAGACAAGTCAGATTGCTCTTCAGAATTCTGGAAAACAGGGATAGCAGATGCCACTTTCCAACATGCTGGAAATTAAGACTTAGATAAGCCCTTGTTAAATAATTTTGAAAGTGAGAAAAACCATGGAGAAGAGTGATGCTTAATTTGAAATTGTCAAGAGGGAATAAAAGATTCCATGCCAACCTAAATTCAAGAAGTTACATAAAAAGCTTATTTGTCAGCAACAAGATGAAAGATTTCTACCCAAGGGCTATCATAAAAAAATCATAGAAAGAGTCCCAGTCAACTTTAAGATAGTTGTAACAGGTACAATGATAGGGGGATTCTAATGATGAAGAAAAATGAGATTATAGTTTCAGAGAGATCAAACCATGATCAGAAGGACCTAGTGTTAAATGTGGTGAAACTAAGCACTAACTAAGATCAGAAACAAGACACAAGTCAAGTAGAGAAGGTAAATAATTCAGATTTTTAGGAAAGCAAGTTAGAAAGTTGACTAATTGAGTTAGAGATTGAGAAAGGAAAAAGTTGTGAGCCTTAAAGCCAACAACAATAACAATATTGGGTAAAGGATAAAGACAGCGGGCTTAGTCAAATTGCTCAGAAATAACATCAAAAAAGAGTACAGTCTTGAGATGAAGGAGAGCGATATAGAACCAAGAGAAAAGTGATAGAGTGAAGTGGTGCTAAACAAAAGCACACACAAGACTAGTCTGTGGATTCCAACCTAGTTTCCTTAAAATTGGCGAATTTTTACTAATATAAATGACCAGACCAAGCATGTGACTATTCAAGTCTGTACAAATTAAAGTAAGATAACCGTCAACACTAAGATCTCAAGATATGACAGCAGAACTCAAACTAGTCTCACAAAGTGCAAAAAGGTCTGGTGAACTTTGCAAGAGATAAGATTTAACAGAAGACTAGTTACTTCAAAGACCATGAATATTAGTGAATGATAGATTTAGAGAACTTGGTGATGACAATGGTTTTTGTGTTTTATAGTTTTTTGTACTTTAGTCATTTTTAGATTTGTTAAAGAACTTGACTCAAAACATAGATAGTACTCAGTACACTATTTAATAGCCTAAGCAGCTACTTCATTACTATAGATAAACCCTAAGCAATAACAAAGAGTTCCAAATGTGGAATCGACAATGGATGACAAAAGTATGAACAGGGACACCATCCATGCACAACATGGCACTGTTACTACTCTATTACTTTACAGCTGCTCATGAAATCAGCCTCTTTAATCATAAAAACAGAGATAAAAGCAAAAAGATTGAATCAAAAAATCCTGCACTTAACATCCTAAACTGGAAACAATGTATTTTTTTTTTTACTGATGTTTTTTTTAATTTATTTTTTGTATTATTTATTTGTGGATTGCAAGTTTTTATAAGGTCAATATACATCAACTGTCACTGAATGCATTTATCATGCGAATATAATTTTTTTTTTATTAGTTAATATATATTTTATATATTTATTACAGGAGATGTTATAAATTTATCTGCCAGGTTTTATATATTTATTACTAAAAACTTTATATGCTTATTACAAACTTTATAAATTTACTATTATAAATTTTACATATTTATTATTACAAACTTTATATATTTTTATTACAAATTTATATATTTAAAGAGTTTTATATTATTGACTCCAAAAAAAAAACTTCACATGAAAATACAAAATTCAAAAACAATTTACCAAGATATTTGAAAAGAGAACTGGCAGCTTGACGTACTGTAGATGCAGGATGGCTTAAATAGTGGGAAAATATTGACCAATAATAATGCCATTTTGATAACAAATGCAATAGGGGGACACTCTAAAAATATATAAATCAATTTTTATGTGTGTGTGTGTGTGTGTGTGTGTGTGTGTGTGTGTGTGTGTGTGTGTGTGTGTGTGTGTGGGTGTGTGTGTGTGTGTGTGTGTGTCTAAAAAGGTACAAAAAATTTCATAAAGTCTAACTATATATTAGAAAACAAAATAAATTTTTAAACGATTACCTTGATAAGAAACAATAAAACATTCATAAACCCTTCAGCTTCATAAGGATTCATAAAATTAGCTTGAGTTTCAATCTAAATGTCATATAAAAAGTTTGAATAAAAAAAACATGTGTAAATAAACAGCAGAAGAAAAAGGAAACCTTAAAAAACCTATTACAAACAAAAAACCGTACAAGAAATTTAAATAAAATTATTTATTATTAAGCTCATTGAATTTTAGAAATTTAAAACTGATTGAGGATTCCACGGTAACCCTGTGATACACCTTAATTAAAGATATTGGTAATTTCAGACTGCTCAAGGGTAGGATAAGCTCAGAATACTGAAGGTACACATTAAAGCTCATTTATTTTAATATTCTTTAGTATTTTTGTCATTTCTTGTGACCCTCTCTTCATACTTGCGTATGTTATTTATGAATGTTCCCATATAACTAATTTCCAACTCTGAATATCAGAGTTGGAAATTAGTTGCCATGTCGCTCTCCAAGACTTGATGCCCAGCGCACACAATTGTGCTCATTGATAACATGTTTTAGTATTATGAGCACGAAATATTGTGCTAGGGAATTTTATTTGTCACATCCACTGTATATATATATATATATATATATATATATATATATATATATATATATATATATATATATATATATATATATATATATATATATATATATATATATATATATATATATATATATATATATATATATATATATATATGTATATATATATATATATATATATGAAAAATTAAAAACTAGGAATAAATCAACAACATATATAAAAACTATTATTTTAAATTGAAAAAAATTATTCATCTCTAAATTTACAAATATACCTCTTTTACATAAAATGCTAAATGATTCACAACTCTTTCAAATGATTCGACAAAATGCTTTAAAATACAAATGTTAAATGTTATAATAAAAATGTTAAATGTTAAAAAAATATCAATAAAAATATGTTAAATTTAAAAAAAATATCAATAAAAATAGTAAAATAAGTAATAATAATAAAAAGAAAAAAATATATAGAAAAAAGCTTACATTTAAATCCGATTTATTGAGCAAGATAGACAACGCTTTTCCAGCAGTCTCTCTTATGCTAAGTTGAGAGTTTGAAAATAATGTAAACAAAATACCTTCTAATCCATCACGCATGAAACTTGGTAATGAATCAAAATACATTCTTCCAATCTAAAATAATTAGCATAGAATAAATTAAAAAAAAAAAAAAAAAGAGGAAAGAAATAAAGGAGACAAAAATTCTGCAATGAAGTTGAATTTTTGAATGATAATGGAATTTCCAAGTCTCACATTAAATGCAACCAAAGCACAGTTCATGTATTGCAAAGTAATAATGTAAATGACCAAAAACCTAGAAAAATGGGAAATGGAAATATGAATGTAGTTTTAATATTTTTTTACCTTGATTAAAACTGAAGATGATGAATCAACTGTTTTTGTATTTGATGCTGCCTCCCATTCACAACTGGAAAGAATTTTTTCAATCCCTTGAATATTAAAAATAATTTATAACAATAATTGCAGATAATAACCATAATATAACTTCCTTTAAAAATAAAAATAAAAAACTTGTTTAAAAAAAAATTTGCTTGTTTTAAAAATAAATAAAAATTCGCTTTTTTAAAAATAAAAAAAATAACTTGTTTTAAAAATAAATAAAAATTATTTATTTAAAAAAAAAAAAAAAAAAAATTTAAAAAAAAAATTGAAATAGAAAATTAATAAAGTTATTAAGTGATAAAATATATATTTGAAGTTTTTTTTTTCTTATTTCTTTTATGCTTAATGATTTCAAACTTTCTACTTTTATTTTTAATGGCTATAAAAATTTTAAGTTACATTTACAATCAAAACACATAAACACTCTTCTAATTGATATAAAAACTTTAGAAACTTCATATAAAAAAAGTTATATATTTTAAACAAAGAAGTTTCCCCCAAACAGTTATATTGTAAAGACACATAATGAACTTATGATAATCCTGACGTAAAGAAGAACAATCATTAAAATGTTGGTTTTGTGATGCCTTAAAACCATATTAAAAAGTTGTAAATGACCAGCTTTTAAAGTTCATTATCTTTAAAAAAAAACACCAAAGTATAATCCAAAATAAATTTATTAACAACCTTTTAAAAAATTTCAAGTCAGAAAAAAATATTCAGACAAAGCTGATTTCAAACATCAAAAAAAGAGTCCAATATGCTAATTAAATTAAAAAAAAAAAAAAAAAATGTTGTATGCTATCACTACAAATATTTAGTCATTGAATAATCTTTTATGTCATGTTCTGCTGATTGGATAGCTGAAAACTTTGAAAAGAAATTGCAGCAATGATATTTATTCTACACAAAACAAAAGGGTTACAAAATTAAGTTTATTCAGAACGAGCAAGTGAGCGGTTGTAGTATATTATAATCATCTCAATTAAAAGTTATTTCTAAAAATTATAAAACTTAACTTTTAAAAATTTCTAAAACTTTATTTTTAGGAAAAAAATTTAAAAAAATATATTTATAATGAATATATAGTTCTTGCTTTGTTTGAATTTCCTTATTACTTTATATGTCATAATAAATAACAATTTCAACAAACAAATTACAATGAAAAAATATCTCCCAGCCTTAGCTAATAGCCCCTGCTACTAATCAGGGCCTGGGTAGCAAATAACTTCAAACTTTGCATGAGACAATATCATTTCATATAAAAACTGTTAGAAAGTCATTTTTATTTAAAAATCTACCTTTTATAGCACCATCAGAAGCCTGCCAATTTGGTTCATTTTGCCACTTCGTTTTTTCGTTTCGACAAACCTGCATTTTATAAGAAGACAAAAATGTAAAAAATCTACAACAACAAACATATAATTTATTTAGGATAAATTTAACTTTAGACAAACTTAATAAATATTTTTTTATATAAAAAATATTTTTAATTTGAAAATTTCTATTTTATCAGATTAAATTGAGATAATATAAAATTTCAGCTACAAAATTTTCATTTTGTTAGATTAAATTAAGATAATAAAAAAACTTTGGAAATTTTTTATGTAGAAAGCGATATTGACACAATGTTTGGTTAATATTGTAACAATATTACATTCCAACATCACACTGATATTGGCATTCCAACAGTATGCAAATGCATATGAAAAATAATGCGCCAATATTGGGAGAAAATGTTGGCAAGCAATATTGGACTAGAATCATTATTATTGGCCAAGAATAGACTATCCCTCCAATATTGTCATACTACTATAAGACAGTATTTGTTTTAGGTTCAGATTCCTTGTATTAAATATAACTACTTCAGTTTCTATCACTATTAAAATTGTTGCAGTTTAATGAGAATATAGTCTTTGCAGAATTTCTGTGGGGTATGGGCTCCTCAATAGTAGTAAGACAAACTTACACAAAAAAAAAAATATATTAAAAACTTGAAAACATTGTTGAACACAAATTTTTGGTTTTACCTGTAAATATGAAATGCAAATTTAAATATGTGCATCACTTTACATATATTTTGTTTTTGTTATGCTATTTTTTATGTTTTTAAATGATTGATTTTTAACTTGAGATAAAGCTAGCTAATAGCAGAATTGTCAGCTTTCTCATATTGATTAAATTTTAGGATTAAGTTTGAAAAGATATAAAACTTCAATATGTTTTAATAAAGCAAGGAAAAACAAGAAGAAAGAAATAAACACATATCTGTTTCTTCTAATAATATATATTAAATTTGTAAAAAATATTATTAAAATAAATAATAATAAAAAAACATTATAGTAAGACTCTAAAATAGAAGATAAAAGTTAAATGTTACCTCTGTAAGTGTAGTAAACAAATTTTTTAATTGTTCTAAAGTGATTATTTGTAACAATATAGCTAATCTTGAAGATGTATCTTTACGAATAACTGACCAAACATCTGTTAATCCGATTACTATGATATCCTGAGAATAAAAATAATTGTTTACAATTAAACTTATATATACTATAAATATAAAAAAATTCTTCATAACTATTTATAAAAAAAATTATCGAAAAATTTAATTTCTACGTTATAAGAATTAATTTTGTTTAATTTTGCTTCATGTATTTTTTTAAAATCTATTTTAAAGTATTAATTTTCATTCATAAATTAGTAGGTACAGAGATGGCAGTTCAAAATAATTTTTACATTGAACTGCAATCCATCTACTTACACTTAGCATACTTATCTACAATTAGCATGGCAATATTAAGGTTCTCTGAACATTATAGAATTTTGGTAAATATTTTTCTATACCCATTTGTGCATGTCAAGTAACTTAGACATTAGTAAAGTAATTCATTTGATAAGGTTAATATTGGACAATATTAGAAAAAAAAACTATAAAAGCTTTCTTGTTTTTTGTTTTTATGTGTTATTTTAAATCTTGAATTGTATTTTTAATCAGAATTGTGTAATATATTTATACTAAACAAATTAGTGTAAGTATCAGGAAAATTAGAAGGTTTTAGTCAAATAAGTATATAACAATGCAATGTAATAATGCAGCAAATGTATACTTTTATTGCTTAATAAGGAAAAAAAACTAACACTCAAGAGAAAAAACTTACCCTCAAAAGAAAAAAAAAAACTTACCATCAAGAGAAAAAAAAACTTACCCTCAAGAGAACAAAACATTTTTCAGTCACTAAAACATACTTTATTGAAAGATTTTTTAACCATCGAAACAAACTCAACATTAAATGTTTTCTTACAATAGGAGATGTGGAATCTTTAAGAAAATATATTTAAAACATTGATGAGATATGAAATCTTTAATTGAGTATGATCATAACATTATAGCATTATCTAATGTTGCAATAAACAACTTTGTGTATTAAAAGTGCATACTTACTTGATACTAGTACATGCTTGTAACCACAAAGAAGGTAGTATGACAAATGCTGATGGTATTCAATCCTATAATATGAAACATATAGAGAAAAAGAGATTGAGAGAGAAAGAGAGAGTGACAGTGTGTGAAAATGAGAGAGCATGAGATAAAGAGTAAGGGATTTAAAATAATAATTAAAAAAAAACCTTAGTATTTACATAAATATGTTAACAAACATAACAAACTTAAGTCAAACACTTTTTGGAAATCAATATATACAATTATATAAAACTAATACTTTGATATATTTAAAAAAAGATTATAATGGTTAACAAATCAATGTTCAAGGGTCTTATAGTATTTTTCATTCCTAAGTTTTTTAAATAAAATATATCAAGGTAAATGCTAAAGTTGATTTATCTTGAACCACCTACATTTATATATATATATACATATATACATATATATATATATATATATATATATATATATATATATATATATATATGTATATATATATATATATATATATATATATATATATATATATGTCTATTTAAATTTTTATGTGTATTTGTGTATTAGCATGCATTTACATAACATATTCATACCAACCCAGTAGCTTGTCAATTTCAATGTTTAAATCTTGTTGGTAGGAAGTACTTTTACTCGACTCAGGTGATTTTTTATCTTCTTGTGTATCATAATTTTCTGCCCACCCATATCGACGAGAAAACATCCAAGAAAAAAACTTTTCATTTAGAACTGAATCAAAACCTATTAAATCACTTAGAGATGATTTACATGTGTGTTTTCGTAACAAATTATTATCATCTTTGTCAATATTTTTTTCATCTTTAAAAACATCCACATAAATTGTAACTTCTGAAATTAACTTTCTTTGATTTTCATTATTTTCACAAGAGATGAGTGCAATTATCTTCTCTTTCATTTATATTTCACTTTTTTATACTTACATACTTTATAAGTATTAAAATGAATTTAACAAAGTCATTTTAACCAGATTTATAAAAGAAATTAACTTTTAATTTAAACTTTTTTTTTTGTTTGAATAGAAATGTGTAAGAGTTTCTTGATGAGTAAGTGGAAATCAATGAGTGTATTAATAAAACATCTAGATTTCAATCAATAAGTTATTATGATTTGCGCAGAACAATGTTATAAGGCAGGTATTTGCGGTTTAAACGAGAAATCTCAACTACCGACAATAAGAGATTTTGTTTCGCTTTCTTTTTTCGGTTCCGAAATATTATACCGTTTTAAATGTTGATAACTTTTTTATAGTTTGAACTTCAAACAATTAAAGTTATTATAACTAGTACTTTTTGAAGAAACCCGAATGATCTAAAATTAAAAGAGTTTCAGTTAAGTTAATGCAATGAATTCCAAAATTCAAAACAATGTTAGTTTTGGCTCGTATATAAAATATAGAATACAGCATGTCCAACAGGTGCGTGTTTGATACAGAGATAATGTTCCACAAAACAACGTAAGTCTCATTTTAAACACAAAACCATATACATTTATATGAATATGGGTAAATGAAAACAGTTCAAATATTAATTCTAGAAACTGAATTTCAATCAAATATTTACTACTCGACTTTCTCCCCGATTGACTTGTGTTTTAATTGCCCGACTAGCCGAATAAATTCGTAAAAAACCCGACTATAACTTGAAAACCACCTTCTTTGGGGGAGAGGGAAACATCCCTCTACTTTTTTAAATTAAGCAAACCGGTTGTTGTTATCATTGAATTTAAAATTTAATTAATGTACATTTGCACTTACGTTGACTGACGAATAGGGGGTACAAACAGAGGTTTTACTGATGGGAGGAGGTTGTGTGAGGGTGTTTCACCCCCTCCTCTTCCCCCTCCCCAAAGAAGGATATTTTTAAGTATTAGTTGGTTTTTTTTTACGAATTTAGTTGGCTAGTCGGTTATTTAACACAAATAAATCGGGTTAACTTTGGTTTTGAGGACCTTTTTTAATTTTATTTTAAGGAACTAGTCGGTACTTTTTAAGAATTCACCACCCCTCATTTTATTCGCAGAATCGCCTCTGGTTACTGGCGCAAATAAATGTACATACACCGACTGACATATGACTGGCCCAATTAGATGTATACGGTTCGGGTCATGGTTAAGGTCAGAGATCAATTAGAAATTGATGCATTTTCAAACAGTTTTGCTTTTTGGATGTGGATAAAAACCAGGCCAGTTATCTTTGATAAGGAAATCATAACCGAGTATGAAAAAGATGACGAGTATTGCCGTTTTTAATTTAGTTTTTTATACTTAATCATCAGGTTAGAGTACTTTCCTCAAGTTTTTAGACTTTTATTTTATTTTTGTATATGATTCTGAATCAGTATAATGTGTTCTAACATAATCGATCATACAAAAAAAATAAAAAAAGGAGGGTGGGGAAAGGTAGCATCTAAATATTTAACATTTATTTAGAGTCTCTCTGAATTAAATTTTTGCTTCATTTCCAAATTATTCAAAAATGGCGGTATTACATCAAATACTTTTACGACTCTAAATATGTAAATGAATAATACTGATTTTAAATGCTTAACAGTTATGCAAATTTATAACTTTGTACACTACAAAAATCTATTTAAATAAATACATTATTTTAACAAAATATAATATTTTATTCAAAAAATGTAATTTTCAAATATTTAAATGCAAATAAATCAAAAAATAAATTTCTGAAATATATTTTTTTTGGATAGCTACTTTTTGAGAATTAGCCGCTCCCCCTTATTCCATTCTCAAAATCGCCCCTGTTTACAACAAGTATATGTTTCTAATGTAATGTTTCTTGTTTTCGAACTATATTGTTGTAAGACATCATAAAAATTATATGAATCATATGATGGCCAAAATGCATCATTAAACATCAAATGCAAAAGGTCTGGGGCAAAATAGAACTGTTTTTGTAAAATTTGGTTTTAATCAACGATGTTATTTTTTATTGTTATAATATATTTTATTGTAATTAACACGGGAGTTTAATTACATGTTGCGAAACTAAGCTTGTAACCTTTTGCCTCAAAAACACGTTAAAGCAGTTTTTTACAAAAGTTATAACAAGTTATAACATAAGTTACAACTTATACGACAAAAAGTTATAACTTATAAGACAGTTATAAGAAATAGATTTATGAGATAAAAAATAGGTTCTTGAAATAGAATTCTCTATTCTTACGACTATGATTAAAGCTAAATATAGGGCTTTATAACGTTGACGTCAAGCGTCAGCAAATAAATTATCGCGACAACTTATATGCTGACGCAAATAGGAAGAAACTAATTTAATTCATTTTCGGTGGAAAATTGGCTAGCGAATAGCTAGCTATAATCGTAACGATAAAGACAGCGATATGGCTACGAGGATCGCTAGCTTTTTTAAGTTAGCGAAAAGCTGTCGATATTTGTAAAGATAAAGGCAGCGATTTGGCTACGAGGACAGCTGGCTTTATAAGCTAAAAACCCACTGACTATTGTAGCTAACCTCATATTTTAATATAATCGCTGTTTAAAATTTTTTTAAATTTTAGCTACCGATTGGCTAAAGATTTGTAGATATTTTGTAGCTAGCTACAAAGTTAAGATATGTAGCTAGCGACACATTGCTATGTTTAAAGTTCAATTATTCTCCTCATCATAATTGACTCAACACAAAAGTTCGAATTTTTAAAGATGTTAAAGACATTAGAAAAAAATAAAATAAGAAAAAAAAATTGCTTGAAAATCGCTATGAAGCTAACTAGTCGCTCGCTAGTCGCTTGCTCATTTCCCGCCGAGTTCACAATCAATAAAAATTGCAAATTTTTATTGATGAAGAGCGGCACGCTAGGCGGTTCTGTGATCTAAATACTCTTTAGCTTTCAAACGAAAATACTCCTAAACTTTGAAATCACAGTTGAGATGTTATCGCCAAAATAGGTTTAGACTAAAATTAATATAAATTTGATTTAGATTAACTTTAGTCATTAAATATAGCGACAGCAAAGAGACAATTTCATAAAAAAATAACTTATAAAACTTTAATTTTTTTTATTTTAAAAAAGAATTTTTAACTGTTTAGTAGTCTTTTTGTTTTTTTATCAATTGCAAAATTACTTTGATGTTTACCACTTCATTAACTTCACCATGTTTTATAGCAAAGTCGTTTATACAACATAGCGCAAGCAGATCTTAAGAGAAATAAAAAACGTTGATATGTTATTATTATTTAATTTTTTTGTAAGAAAGTCAAAAATATTTTTGAAGACATATAATTTAAATTTCTCTTTTCATAATAATTTTGTAATTAAACTTTCAACATACATTAAGATACTCTATAAAAATTATTTTTTAAAAAACAATTTTATGTATTTAAGTAAAAGTTTTGCATGATGTGTCCACATCTCAAATAGAATTAAACCCAGGGCCGCCAAATAGGTAAGAGGGGGGGCACTGGGTACATTTTACAGTGGCACACGGACAAAGCGGGCTCAAGCAACCTTCAATAAAAGATTTTATTAAAAATTGTAATAATCATAAAGAGCACTATTTTTGGTGGACTTGGATTTAAAACAGAATCTAAAAGACTATTATTACAATTAGAATTTATTACAACAGACTTCAATTATTTATTATTCTAAATTTAATTCAAAATAGAAAAATTAAAAAAAAAAAAAAAATGTTGTTATAAAAATGAATATATCTTATTAAACATTAATATAGAAAATGTGCATCCATTAATACATATGTGTGTTTATAATACTTTTCTTTTAAATCAGTAGAAATATACTACAGAAATATACTGTATACTTTCATCAGTAGAAATTTACTATAGTTTCACGTTTTTTAAAGACATTTTTAGCATTTTGCAAAATTTATATGTAATTTAAAACGGATTATGTATATATTTGCTTTTTTATAAACACAGACAATATCGGTGATAAGACAGTTTATGTATTCTTTCTTACTTTATATATGTAGTGTGTTCATTGTAAATTTATCAAACAGCAAACATTCAAACAGGCAATTTATTAAACAGCAAAAAAACAAAAGGAAGATAATTTGCATAATTTTAGGCCAAAAATTCAGACAATATCGAAGATTTTATTTTTTTCTGTAAGATAATTTGAAAGATTTTTAGAACTTTATAACATAAAATAAAATTGAAAATTAAATGAGTTAAAAGGAAATTTCACAATATCTATTTTTTCTGCGTAGAAGGCTGATGGCTATGCTTCCAATTTAAATGTAGTTAATATTCGAATTGCATAACACTTAACCAAACAAAAGGCTTGTTTTAAAACATTATCAATGTTATGTTACATAAATCAGTTAAGTTACTCTCATTCCAATACTTTTTAAATATTTCAAATATTAACTTTTTCATTACATTCATTACAATCGATTTGATATTCTGAAATTGCATTTAATTTTTTTTTTTTTAATTCCTATGAGAACTAAATTCTATATAAAAAAATCATTTCGATTTCAAACCAAATGAAAAACTTTTTTATTTTATTTAGGAATAAATAACACACATCTTAGAGTAAAAACGTCATGTCCAGTTTTCTAAAGCATGATTCAGGGGCCCAAGGCAGAAAAAAACTGTAGAAAAAATTGTAAAAAAATACAAAAACAAACGTACAATGGAAGAGTGTGGCTTCCAAGTTGTCAAGATATAGAATAGCAACTTTATTTTTTATTCACAACCTTATATTTATATTTTCATTCCAAAGGTAAAACAATTCTTTTTTAAACGGACTATGTTACCAAAAGCGTTGATGAACCCTTGAGTCCTAGAAGCCATCTTCCCTCTTCAACCTTTTTAACGGTCTCTGTAGAATAAGATGTTAATTGGGTAAGTTTGGAACGTATTCTTATTTTATGAAAAACCTGCAAATAATAAAAATATATCATTTAATATCTGCAGATGTTAAAAACATACCACAATTCTCAAATGTTTTTTTAAGTTTAGAATCAAGAGGCGATTCAACTGGCGGATCAAGCAGATAAAAATGATCCCGCTTTGTGGAATAGCGTTTTATTTAAAGCTGAACACGATCTAGTCATACTAAATGGACCACATCAAAATCAGGCACTTTTTCTTAGAGAATGTTCAAACAAAAAAGTTCCTACCTCCGTTTTTTACGAAACTTCTCTCAACTAAG